AAAAAAGTAAATCAGAGCTAAAAAAGTATAAAAACGCAGGCAAATTTGCCTGTATTCTACTACAATCTAAGGGATACCCAATAAGTGGGCAAATAAAAGTAATCGAAAATGTATTTGTCTAGCTTGCATGGAAGCTGTAGAAAGAGATTTTGCTTTGCAGGATGAGAGTTTAAAAATTACAAATACTTTACGTTACTGTGCTAATCATCTTAAAGATTGTTCTTATTTTGCTGCAAAACATTCACCTGAACAAATACAAAATATTATTAACTTGGCTACATCTTCAACATCAAACAAACATGTAGCAATATCTTAAATAGAAGAATACGATGATGATTCAATTTCAACAACATCAACTCACTCTTCTAATTCATTATTAGCTTTTAATGAAAATTTGTCTCCCTCAAAAAGACAAACAAGTATTATCTCAATATATTGGCCATCCTCTTAATGCTTCTGAAGTTTTCAAATTTGAACGTCTTGTGCTTCAGGCAACAATCTCAGCTGGTATTGCATTTCGGTGAATAGAAAATCCTGAAGTTAAAGAATTATTTCATTTTATTTCACCATATCTGAAATTACCCAACCAAAGATCACTTAGCAATTGTATTTTAATGAATGCAACTAATAAAGTTCAAACAACAATTAAAGAACTTGTCTGCAAGGATAAGATTGGTAATATGATTGCCTTTGATGGTTGGCGCAATATTGTTAATGAAGAATTAATGGGTGTAGTATTTATTACATCTTCAGGAAAAACTTTAATTTGGGGTGCAGAAAATATTAGCATTGAAAGACAGAGAAAAGAAAAAGCAATTTCTAGAATTCATGACCTTTTTGAAGAAACAAAAAATTGAATATAAGGGCAAACTGTCTTGTAACTGATTCGGCTAGGTCATATGCAGCGGCTCGTCATTGTTTAAAGCGTGAAATGCAGGACAAGGTGTTTATTCCATGCTTTGCACATCAAGCAAATTGTTGTGTGGGTGATATATTTAAAGAATCTGTAATATTCAAAAATACAAGCAAGCGTGCACTTCGTATTGTTGCTTTTTTTTACTGTTCTGTGTATTTTACTGCTAAGCTTCATGACGAACAAAAGAATGTTTTAAACAAATATATTAACTTTGTTATACCGTATATAACAAGATAGAATAGTTATTTTGAATGCTTTGATAGTATTCTTAAAAGCAAGCATCCATTAAAAGTAAGTTATTTTTTGTAATTTAGAATTAAAATTTTAAAATAATAAATTTTTTTTTTTAGACTCTTGTTACCAAAGATGATGTAGCCTCTGATGATGATTTAAAACTTCTAGCTGATATCAAAGCCGCTATTAATTGTGATTCATTTTGGGACTCTCTTGTAATATTATGTAATATGCTTCGTCCTTTTTGTGGAGCTCTTGATCTTATGCAGCGTGATAAAGCACATTTTCATAATGTTTTACATGCATTTGGTTTTTTTATACAAATATTTAAAGAACTTGAGATATCACAATTTCGAACCAAAATGATTAAAAAATTAGAAAAAAGATGGGCCACGTGAGAACAACCATTGCTTCTTCTTTCTTTTGTTCTTCACTCTTTATATCAGTTAAACTATTTTGATCAAATACAATTATATATTAATTTTACTCACATGGATGCATAGTTATCATATTATTACAAAGTTTGGTTTGATAATAATCCAAATTGTTTACTTCGTGAACTTGAACTTTATAACCAACAAAAATATCCTTTTATCGAAAAAACTTTTAACCATTTTAAGGGTGATATTATTCTTTGGTGGTCATATAATTCCGGTGCTGCACCAGAATTAAGTCATATTGCATGTCAATTATATGGCATATATATTACAACCGCTTTAGTAGAAAGACTTTTTTCTACTATGGGCTTTTTACATTCACCATTGCGAAATAAATTAAAAGTAAGTTTTATTTTAAATTATAAAATTTTTTTTGTTACATTAAAAAAAATTTTTTTTTATTAAAGCCTGAAAAAGTGATCGCAATGAGTCAACTTCGTGCAGAAATTTTACGAGCTCGTAAAAAAAAATCCAACTCCTTTCATATTCAATCGAATTATCTTTCCACTTCACTTTCATCTGTCGATTCTATCTCTTTTGCTTCTTTAGCTTCTGAAGAAAACATTGCTGATGATACAAACGACGGTGCGAATGAAGATATTTCTTCAGAAGCTGATTGGGATGTTGTTATCAATAAATAGGAAAAATTGTTAATCAATGAAGAATTTGAAGAAGAACAAGATGATTTTGATGCTGAGATAGATTTTCTTGATTTAGAAACACATCCTGCTAAAAATCAAGCTGTGAAGTGAGAATTACAAAATTTGTTTTTACCGAATTTGCCTTTTCCGTTTAAAAATATTTAAATTATATGTTTACTGTTTATCATTATAGGATTTATAGTAAAATAGAACATTGAATATTGTATATGTTCTTTATATAAGTACATTATTTTTTTTCAATATTATATTATTAAAGATGAGAAATGGCCCAAAAGACTGGATCAAATTTTCAATTCAAAATAAGATTCAAAAAATCTAAACCCGGGCAATTTAATGTATTAAGGCTTCAACTTTTATTTTTGATACTATTTTTATCGTTAGATTAATACAAACATATAACATATGTACTGCATACGTGGGTATTTGCAATTTTTACAAAATTTTTGAACTTTAATTTTGAAATATGCCCAAACTCAGATTCATAGAACTGGATCGAACTAGATTGAGCAGGACATTTACTATGTTTACATATTTATTTACAAACATGTAATACCCGATTTCTCACATATGAAAATCATTACACCTTTCACAAATTCGATTTACTTTTTTGAAAATGTTCATTTCACAATCGAAAATAAAATTGACAATTTCAATGAATTACGCTCATTATGCAAAAGAAACTCAAACTATGTTTAACTTAGAAGAAAATATTTATTATATCAAAAACGGATAAATAAAATATAGATAAGTTTCATCAATGAATGCTTAATAAATAAAAGTAGTTATAGCAATAGTAATGCAAAGATTACAAGTATCGTTACAATTAACTTATTTCTGTATTTGCTTACAAATGCAATTATATTGATTGATTGTCACATGCGGAATTAAGTAGCCAATAATACGAAGAGATTTAATTATGTAATCAACAAATCATGTGAAAATTATCCTATGTCCGATCCTATATTTAATTATATGTCCATTGCTTCTGATTGGACAATTCGGACACTGGACATCGGACAGATTTCTATTGTCTGAATTCTATTTATGCCAACCCTGGAATCGACGTTAAATTCAATCATTGCTCTCTACAAAATTCAAATGTAGCTTTACAAAAAATGCCTAAAGCTAAAACTATAAGAAAAACTAACGGCATTCGTACATACAGAAGTTTAAAAAGATTAACTATTTCATTTGTAGGAGATATAAAAGCAAAGATCATTTTTAAAAATATTCTCAAAGAGACAGATAAACAAATAGAATCAGAACTTGCTACAATTACATTACAACATTCTGATAAAAAAACAAACTACTATATAACTTTTAATCTCAAGCAAGTAATATACAACAAATTAGACAAAAATTTAAAAGCTAAAATAGGAACAATTGAATCCCACATAACCAGAGACAATAATAAAAAAGTAGAAAAAAAATACTACGAAATGCAAGACATGACTTTAGAACTTTCTTGAAACAACAAAAATTTTTAAATTTTTAGTATTACATCAGATATTTTGGAAGTTTTTTTTTCCTGTTATATTTTCTAATAATATTCTAATTATTTTGCTGAAAATTAAATTTACAATTTCACTTTTTTTTGTATTATATTATTTAAGGGTATAAATTTAATAGTAAAAATTGCCTAAGTTTTTACATATTCAAGATGATTTTTCGCAAATGTGCATTATCGTGCAGCATTTTTTTGAGGTTGTATGCGTTTTAGAACGTGCTTTGTTCTTTGTGTTATAATGCAATATAAAAAGTATATCGAATTTATTTTTTTGTATAATATAAAGTCGCAAAATATAATTTTTTTTTTAATAATAAATTCGGCATCATTGTCTTTGTGAAACAAAAGAACAATTGGTTATTCATTTTTTGTTATCATGTGACTTAATACTGTATAATATAATTTTTTCTGTAATAATATAAAACTGGTTTTTATATTTAAAAGATATATGACGGAATTAATAATAAAAAGGAATAAGAAAAAAAATCTTAAATAACAAAAAATTATATGAATTATATATAGTAATCTAGCCTAACCTTTTAAAAAATCAGCTGATGAGTCAGATGTTACAAATCCGGATAAAGTTTTTCGTATTAAGTTGCTATGAAAAGCAGAGGATAACAATAATTAGGATTTCAGGTTTTTGTCATTTTTGAAGCGTTGTGAATTACAGAATCAAGTTTCAGTCTGTTTCCTCTAATTTTTGCTTTAATTCTTTTTATGAATCAAATGAAGAATTCTAATATTCAAGAAAATGTTTCCAATTAAGAATTATCTTTAAAAGCAGAATAACTATCAGGGTGAGTTTTCTCATTAATTACTTGTCGAGTTATTAGTATATCCAAAGTTACGCTGCCACATCTGTACAATGAAATCTGATAGAGAATTGAAAGCACATCGGGCCAACCATTTGGATGAACGTTCTCCTCTATTAGTTATCGATATTCCTGGCTCTGTCTGCGTTAGAGAGGATCTTTCTGTATTAAAATGCTAGAAAGCGTGCATCTGGGAAGTTGGTGAATAGGATATACTTTAGCATTGACCATGTAACCGTTGACTATTCTGGCCATGTTCTTTGTTAGTTGATAATGATAATGCAAGTATTTTATTAATAAATTTTAATTCCAAAAAGCAGGTTAGTATTGACTCATCGGATTCTCACATTTGCTTTCAAAAGTAAGATATAATTAACTATATTGAAAATATGTGGGTACAAAATGTCTGAGATTTTAAATCTGAAGAAAATACAGTTATAAATATTAATTCAAAATTGTTCTTTAATTAAAAATTTTTGAAATGAATTGTTACAATAAATAATAAAGAAATAATAAATAAACAAAATTGACTAAATAATAGCTTAAAACTAGTGTTCAATGTTGAATAACTCAAGAGAGAATTGCTATGAAAATTTCACTAATAATTCTGACTAACGAAAAAATCTCATGAACTTATCAAATACTGTCAGCTCCAGTCATCTCATACCAAAGAATTCCTGTGATAAAGTGAAAAAAGTGATTGAGCCTCGTTATCTAACCAGACTTGTAAATATTCAGATTGTTGCTATAAAGCTCATTTTGAAAGAGTTACTTTGTTAAAATTATTTTTTGCAATAGTGGCAAAATATTCTCGTTCTAGTGCATAGCAGACTGCAAATTTAGGCTGATTTAGTTTTTTACTAGCACTTTAACGAGGATTTAACAAGGTTTTTTGACAAGTATGAATAATTAGTAATTTTCTATACTCCTTGTTAATAGTGCTAGTAAGAAACTAAATCTGCCTAAATTTGCGATTGCCGGTAGTTATGAAAACTTCCTCTTGGAGACCTATATTATTAATATACACTAGATCGAGAATATTTTATCACTATCGCAAAAAATGAATGATTTTAGCAAAGTATTTAATAGCAAAACCTAAAGGAATAATATAACCTTAATCTGAATAATAGCTTCCACAGATCACAAGTTAATAGAATATATTGTGGTAGAATATAAGTGCATATATCTCAAGCTACAGAATTAAGACAAAATTATTCAGTATTTAGTCAATTTGATTTTGCAACATATAAATAAATATTTCAGTGATCAAGTTTTGGTGAGAATAATTTTTTTTTTTGAAAATGAAAAGATAGTAATATTTTGAAATAATGCTCCAAACTATTTTTAACCTTTGCCCATTGATATTTTTTTTATAAAAAATGCAAAAATTATTATCCAATATTTGTTTACTTTATGCCAATCCTCTCTCTTCTTAATAGCTTTTCTAAAAGTTTCATCACCAATTATATCCCTTTGCTGTATATAGAATAATCCAAGGTTAAATGCTTGCATTCTAATTTCTTCTTGATGAGCGTTAAGATCATTTTCATTTTTATTCAGCAATTCTTTAAAGAAGTATTTAAGAAGAATGAATAGATATGCTAAATTTTTTCATTGTAAATCATTTGTCTCCAGGTTATTATTACATAGTGGACTATGTAGCTCGGTAACCTTTTTTAAAAATTTGTGTATGTTTAGACTATCTATATCCAAGTTTTTAGTATTTATTTGGTCTTTCTCCAAATAGTAATTAAATGATTTAACTAAGATATTTTTTTGATTATCATTATTTGTAAAATCATGAAAGTGTTCTATCGAAAGACTTAATCTTTCATCTATATTTTCATTTAGTTGAACTTTATTGTGGTGATTAATTAATGATTTGTCGATATCCTTAATATGCGTAAAATCATCAACTTTACGAGGATTAAATTTGAATATTAAATACAATAAAAATATTTTTTTCATTATTGATGCAACAAAATAGAATCTTAATCTTCTAGAAAATTTCCTGAATATAATAGATGTAATATCAGAACAGGAAAAAAATATCCCTTAGATTGTAGTAGAATACAGGCAAATTTGCCTGCATTTTTACACTTTTTTAGCTCTGATTTACTTTTTTAAAATGCTAAAATAATTAAATAAAACTTTGTACAATTATATTT